TGTGCTATTAGTCTAGGCTTCAAGGGCTTGGATCAAAGGTTAGAGTGAAGTGGAAGGCCGTTTATTTATCTTGATTTCATGTGGCTTGCACAAAAAATAGACTGCCCAAAAATGTCATCTTTCACCAAAGTTGTAGTCACAATGGTACAGAAAGGTGGCAAAACTTCCTGAGGGGGAACGGAGTATATCCTCACTTCTGTCCGCGTGCATGTGTGTGAGTATATTTACATGTATATGTACCTGTCCATATGCACACATAGGTATGCAAATAGGTGTGTATTATATAAATACATGGGCATATATTTATACACATCCATATATAAAATCTCATGTGTTCTCCATGAACTCCAGGGCAACAGGTCGAAATGATAATTATCATGTCACAGATGAGAAAGGGGACGTGCAGTAAAATTAAGAGGTTTGCCTACATTCTCTTTCCCTTCTTTTATTTTATTTGGAATATATAGCAACCCCATTACTTCCAAGCAGCTATTTGCAACTGCATCAGTACCCACTGAGGATAGCAATGGCATTTATGGACTGGTCCAGGGTCTATATACTCCACCGGGTTGCTCCGAAGGGGAAGAGGAATGTGGTCACACAGTTCTGTGTTTAAATCCTGGCCCTGCCACTTACTTATCCATAACCTTGTGAAAGTCATACGACGTCTCTAAGGCTCAATGTTTTTTTTCATCTGCTAAACAGGATACTGAAACAGGGCCTGCTCCACCGAGTTAATAGGGGTCTTCAACAAGGCACCTGACTCACAGAGTGGAGTGTGGCCCATGGCAGAGCCTGCATCTGAGGGCTGGGAGTGATGTTCCTCAAGAGATCCTCTGTTCAGCCTCTGGTTTGTTCCGTTCTGTGTATAATGTAATCTGGGGGAAAAGGAAATTGGGCTTTCTTTTTTCAAAAATTTTTAATGTTTATTTATTTTTGAGAGAGAAAGACGGAGCATAAGCAGGGGATGGTCAGAGAGGAAGATAAAGAATCTGAAGCAGGCTTCAGGCTCTGAGCTGTCAAGACAGGACCTGATGTAGGGCTTGAACTTACAAACTGTGAGATCATGACCTGAGCTGAACTCGGGCGCTTAACTGACTGCACCACCTGCAAATTGGCCTTTCTTAAAAAAATAAATACACTGTGGCTACTAAGGACTCTGGTAAAATAACATCCCAGTGCATTTTTAGGCTTCAGGAGAAGGGTCTGGCTTCTGCAGGAACAAAGAACGAAATCTGCAAACCCATTCTACAGAAACAAAACCCTATCCTCTCCCTCACAGACCTGCAGGGAATGTGCAACTCTCTCTCTTTTGAGATGGCTGGGTGACAAGAGTGTGTAGTTAGTTTAAACCGCACATTTTGCAAAGGATGGATGTTATTTCCGAGTCTGGGAACCTTCAAAATAACTTGATTGCCTTCTGGGTTTTGTCTCATGAGGTAAAGGCAGAAAAGTTCTAGTTGCTGCTTTTCCACCAATATACAGCTTGTGTTTTAATTAAAACAAGAACCAGGCTCATGACCAGCAGGGAAAATCAGGAAACAAGAAAGCTCAGACAATGTAACAGGGCTGCGGCTAGAGCACTGGAAGAGCAGTTACAGACTTGGGAATCTTTTCAGAAACATTTTTTTCAAAGGTATTGAGCATTTTCATCCCCACTCCTGCCACTTTACTGGGAAAGAGGTGTACATGCTGTCAGAGATGGAGGTGATGGAATCCTAAAAGTAAAGGCATGTTTATGGAAGGCTATATTCTTTTTATGCCAGCGAATTAGCAAGTCAAACACATCTCTGTAAATGTCAGCATCGGAATAGTTTCCATTTAGCTCTTGAAGCGGTTCTAACATTCAGTGCTCCTAGTTTACCTAAAGATGCCGAGAACAATCATTTTGATATCGAAGAGGTAATCGCTGCTTTCCCCAAGAAGTGATTATCTAAGAATAGTCAATTCTGGCACAGTTAAGGGATTGAACCTGGATCGGATGGCACTACAGTAAAACCTTGGATTGTGAGTAACTATTCTGCAAGTGTCCTGCAAGATGAGCAAACATTTCTAATCAACTTTAACTTGATAAATGAGCGATGTTTTTGCAATACGAGTAGTAAGTGATGCCGAACATCACAGGATCACAACTGAGCCAATGATTTTTGAAATTAGCTTTGATATATGAGCGCTTTGGATCACAAGCATGTTTCCAGAACGAACTATGCTCACAAATGAAAGTTTCACTGTATTATAAAATAATCTACCATATTATCAAGGTTGCCAAAGTAGAGCTTCTTCAATTTCACATGGTTGATGAAACACCAGGATGGCTTGCCCTCAGTACCACCAACACTTTAAGCCAGGTAATTCTTTGTTGTAGGAGAATTCCCTGTGGACTTGACGTTTTTCAGAAATGTTTTTCAGAAACATCCTTGGTCCCTATCTACTAGATGCCAGGGGGACACCACCCAAGCCACCACAACCAAAAATGCCTCCAGGCACTGCCAAATGGTCCCTTGGGGAGTGGCTAAAATCAACCCTGATGGGGACCACTGGAATAGATTTAGAGAGGCAGTCAACTGTTGTAGCCCAAAACAGGTATTCCGGAGACAAAGTGCTCCCCGCTAACCAGGTGGCCCCGGACAAGTCAGGGAACATCTCCACGCTTCAGAGTCCTCATCGGTAAAATGAAGATCATGGCAAGTTCTTGCCTCACTGGAGGGTTGTGAGGATTAAGTAAGACAACGCCTATCCCAGAGGGAGCATTCGGCAAATCTTAGCCATTATTGTCTTAAGGATTCTACACAGTATCACTTTTTCCCCCTCTGATGTAAGTATAAATGCAGGTTAAAGATCCAAACAATAGAAACATCCTTAAAGGGGTGGGGTGGGGGTGGGGGGGAGTCGAGTACAGTCACACAATTACAGATGGGTAATCTTTATTTATGTCTCAGAGTGGTCAAATTGTAGGAGCTCGACTATTACATAATCCTGTATCCCGATTTGCTAAACAGCATCAGCTATTGCTTAACGTGGTTTATTATCTTTCAAGTGGAGATCCCTAATTCATCCAAATTATAGGCTGCTACCAGATGATTCTTCAGTAAATACAAATGCTCTATTGTATTTAAAGGAAAAAAAAAGTCTTGACATGACGCCTGGTTTTTTCCCTTGGGTTCTTTCTTCACCATGGGCCATATAAATATTATTGTTACTATTCACTGAAATAATATGAAAAGCCACCATTTTTAAGAGAAACTTAACTATGTGCCAAGCTATGTGCTCCATGTGTATTATTATTTCATGCAATTCTCAAAACAGCAGTAAAAGTTGGTGGGGATCTGGGAGAGGCAAAGTTACTATGCCCCAGTAGCACAGGTCAGAATGAGGCTGGAGCCCAAAAGGAGCCTTCCGAACTTGGAGCTCCTTAAATGGTGCTTCATTATCAAAGCTAAGAGAGCTCCCTTGAACTCTTAACCATAACGAGACTTTTTCTTTCTAAGACAGTTTCCAATTCCCTATATTTCCCCACATTATTCTCCACTTTCTTTGCTTCTTCCCACTAGGCTCAAAATACCTCGAGGTGAGGGGCGCCTGGGTGGCTCAGCTGGTTAATCATCAGACTCTTGATTTCAGCTCAGGTTGTGATCTGAACTCGATCACATGAGTCATGAACTCGAGCCCCGAGTGGGGCTCTGTGCTGAATGTGGAGCCTGCTTGGGATTATTTCTCTCCCTTTCTCTCTGCCCCTCTCCCCACTCTTGCGCACATGCTGTCTCTCTCTCTCTCTCTCTCTCAAAATACATAAACTTAAAAAAAATACCTCAAGGTCAGCGCTAATCAAGAACCATGCTCTGAACACTTTTAAGTACGGTAACTTAAAACAGAGAGAAGGAGACAGAAAGATATGGTGGAAAGGAAGAAATTCACTTTATACTGGTCTCAACGAAGATTAATAAAGACCGCCTGGAAGCTCAACTAAGGAGAGGCACAATCCACATTTCCCTGGTACACACAAGACTCATCCAAGGCTGTATGAAATGGGTCATTCATCCAACTCACCGGAGTAATCCAATTCTTGCATACAGTATGCAAAGTTTACTTCAAAGCGAATAGCAGAGTAGAGAAATAACTTTGCCAGAGGTGTGTGAAAAGAAGCTTATCTTTTTGACACCATTTCTAGTGGTGCCACAAAGCTCCATGCCCTGAGACAGTGACGTAAGGTAGGGTCAGCAATTGTGACCATGGAGGTTCTGGGAAGAAAAGTTATAGTGCTAATTTAGAGACAGCAACCTTCTCATCATATCCTGAGAGCCGGGTTTAGTTGAGGGTGTGAGAAGTCAACATGGCAGTTGGCTGGAATCTGAGGCAGAAGTGACTGTGTGTCCCGGGGTAAGTCACCGTTAGCTCTAGGCAGGATGTGTACAGAGCTCCCCTCTGAGCCACAGTGAGACAAGCTGGAAGCAGCAGGAAGGTGGTGGTTATTGTGGCAATGAAGAAGTTGATCAGCTCATGGCTTCACAGGATTAAACAGGGCCTCAGAGGGCTGCTGATCCAGTCATTATCAACGCATGGCTTTTTCTCAATATTCCCCAAAAGCATGCAACCTGTGCTTTCAAGGATTCCTCTTATTGTTCGTTAGGGAATAATTTGGCCATCGTGTCCTTGTGTGCTCCAGTGAATGCTGGCTGTGGTAAAGCCAGTCATATAAAGGGAATTATCATGAATAGGGTTGATCATGCACTCTATACAAGCACTGTATAAATTTCCTCAGTGAGTAATTTTGACAACAGTTAGGAACAGGAGGCTCAATGAGGTCAAAGGCCTTTCCCAACCTGCCTCCCCCACCATGCCACACACACAATTAAGTGAGATTTGTTTTTTGGTCCAGGGGACCCCAAAGCCACATTCAGTCTGCTGCCAACTGCTAAACGTGATTGGAAGAGTTTAGGTTATGCAGATTACAGGGGAAGGTGGCATCTCTGGAAGCACTGTTTACAAGAAGTACGACTTACAGATATATCATCACTGAAGTCAATTTCATCCAAATCAAGGTATTCAGGGGCTTCCATTATTCCTCTTTGCACATTTTGAGTGAAGTCACAGATTTATAAAAGCTCTGGAAAAGATAGAAGCAAAAAAGAAAAGCAAAAGCGTTACTAGCTGTTTTACAACCCAAACTCCTAGGTCTGTTTAAATAAACAAAACGAGCAGAGTAACTGGCTGCTAGTGCATTTCCTCTCTTTGGATATTATCCCTTGGCCTGGCTTTCCCCAGGCTCCCCAGGGAGCACCCAAGGTCCTTTGTTTCACCTCATCTGTATGTGCCTGGTTGATGCTTCCCCACTGACCACTATTAGGAAGGACTCAGACCACACCGGGCACTTACCGCACCCTGGGTGAAAGCAGGGCTTTGCAGATGGGGATGAAGCCTCAAAATCTTAGGATATTCACCCAATTCCCACGTTTACTGCGGGCATAGCCTTGGAAGGTACACATAGCGTGGTAAAGACCAGCTCCCCACAGAAATGACCCAAGTACATGACGGAGACCAACTATCCCACAGCAATGGATGCTTCAGATTTGGTAGCACGACGTCCAGTCCCCCCACCCCTGCACCTCCAAAGCACAGAGATGGAAACCACAGAGTGTGCGCTCGGCGCCCCGCTCCGCCCAGCTTTGCCTGACTGTGCCACAGTGACCCACGCAGGCGCCACAATGTCCTCAGTCAGCACTCGCCTCGGAGCTGCCCGTGACAATCCTTTAAATCTGTCAAGGAAGATACATCGCCTCCCAGTTCATTTTCCCGTCACTTATCATCATCACCATTGGCGGTGGCCAGGGCACCTGCAGACATCAAGAGCAGAAATATAGATCTCCCGGCGGTGACTTTGTGCTCAGTATCTCATGCAGAGTAGCCTTGGATGTTGAAACAGACCTCATTTCCAGAAACCTGTCTTTCTTATTACAGAAACTGTCTTAGGTACGTGGACTGGAGTGTTGGAAATAATTTAGTTTTCCCCTTCGTTTTCTAATCAAGGGGTATCTTGAGGAGACCAAGAAATAAGAAGACAAAGGAATATGTTATTGGAAAGTGAAAATAAGTCTAGGCTGATAAAAATGGGTTTCATTTGTATAAGATCCAGAGTGTAAAAATGCCTGTGTTTGAAAAGGGAACTCTGACTCTGGAGGCATTGCTTTCTCATTCTGAGGTGTTTTTGGAGGTTTTTTTTTTTGTTTGTTTGTGTATTTTTAAGTTACACAAATAGTTTAATTACAATAAATGGGTGGGGGGGGATCACTTGCTATCTGTACCTCAGAGCCAACAGCTGATTTAATTTTCAGTATTTCCTCTTCTTCTCTTCCCACACGCATATACCATTATATATTTAAGTTTATAAGTTTATCTGTTATTTTTTAATTTTCTTATTTATTATTTATTTTGTGTGTGAGAGAGAGAATGAGAGGTGGAGGGGCACAGAGAGGGGGAGAGAGAGGATTCCAAGCAGGTTCTGTGCTGTCAGTGCAGGGCCCGATGTGGGACTTGAAGCCACAAATCATGATATCTTGACTTGAGTGAAATCAGAGTCAACTCAGTTAACCAACTGAGCCACTCATGCACCTCTTACATACTTTTAATTATTGTGGATACAGAGTTGATCCAAGAAAGGATTAGGATGCGACTATCATGTTCAAATGAGATTACCCATTGAGAATAAATACTCAAAGTTCTTCTATAAATTTTTTTTTAATGTTTATTTATTTTTGAGAGAGAGAGAGATAGAGCGTGAGTGGGGGAGGGGCAGAGAGAGGAGGAGACACAGAGTCCAAAGCAGGTTCCAGGCTCTGGTCTGTCAGCTCAAGGCCCAATGTGGGGCTTGAACCCTTGAACTACAAGATCATGACCTGAGCCAAAGTCGGACATTTAACCAACTGAGCCACCCAGGTACCCCTAAAGTTCCTCTCAAATCACATTAAGGTTTAAAATGAAAATGAAAAGAAAATTAATTTGTATTTGTTATATACATATATAATATTGCAAATCAACATTACATATTCATATTATTTTTAACATAATAGTAATAATTTCACAATAATTGTTAATTATACTAATAAATAATGGATATTAAATAATGAATATTAACATATGCTGGTTTTATATATTTATATATTATATCTACTAATACTATTTGATATTTGGATATATATATATACACCCATGGGCACTTGGATGGCTCAGTCGGTCAAGTGTCCAACTTCGGTTCAGGTCATTCGCAGTTTGTGAGTTGGAGCCCCGCCTCAGGCTCTGTGCTGACAGCTCAGAGCCTGGAGCCTGCTTCAGATTCTGCGTCTCCATGTGTCTCAGTCCCTCCCCCACTCATCCATATCTGTTTCTCTCTCAAAAAAAATAAATAAATAAAACATTAAAAACATTATATATATCCATAAATTTTAATGTTTATAGAATCTAAAAAGAGGTCCTTAAGCAAATTGCTTGGTACAAAAATATATCACTTTAATCCTCACAAAGATTTTCAGAGAAAAGTATACATAATCATACTTGCAAATTACACGAAATAAGTTTCTCTTCCATTCTGGTGGATTCTGGGACAATCCAGACTATTTGGATTCTAGCTCATCAGCTAACAGATTTTCTTCCAGTCTAATTTCTTTTCACTACATCTGTACTCCATGCTGAATTGTTGACATACAGACTCTATTTCTGGTCTTGGTGAACCTATGATAATAGTGTGTATGAAGATGGGGCCCACACAAAAAGGGTATCACCAGAAACATGGATCTATGGGGAGAAGAAGCAGAAAATCAAGCATCAAAGCCGGGAATCGAGTGGATCTCTAAGTATATGGAAATACAGACCACATATTAAATGTATATGAACATATCTTAATGAAGCAAATTAACAAGTCATCAGCGAGCCCATCTGAGGTGTTCTGATGATATAAAGAGTAATATCCACTCTAGTCCAACCATTTTAATGGGATGTAGCCAGTGGATGATATAAAGCATGATGTTAAAGCAGACAATCTTTACACTACACTTGGGAATGGTAGTGAGATTCTTTTTTTTAAATGTTTATTTGTTAAAAAAACATTTTTTTAATGCTTTATTTATTTCTGAGAGAGAGAGAACGTGAGCAGGGGAGGGTCAGAGAGAGAGGGAGACACAGAATCTGAAACAGACTCCAGGCTCTGAGCTGACTGTCAGCACAGAGCCTGACACAGGGCTCGAACCCACGAACCGTGAGATTATGACCTGAGCTGAAGTTGGACACTTAACCGACTAAGCCACCCAGGCGCCCCAATGTTTGTTTATTTTTGAGAGAGAGCGAGTGAGGGAGGAGCAGAGGGAGAGACAGGGAGACAAAGTATCCAAAGCAGGCTCTGCGCTGACAGCAGAGAGCCCAATTCTTGTTGTGAGTTCGAACTCACAAACCTTGAGATCATGACCTGAGCTGAAGTTGGACGCTTAAGAGACGGAGCCACCCAGGTGCCCAGCTGTGAGATTCTCTACTCTATAGGCCAGAACACAAGAGCTCCAAGAGTTCCAGCTCATGAGAGGAAGACCTCAGTCAGCCACCACACACAATTATCTAGATGTGCTGCGTGGTCAAACCTCAGATCAAGGGGCTCAAGGCGTCCTGGTTCACCGATCTGGCCACGTTCCCAGCATTCATTGCTCCTTCTCAGTAGAGAGTGAGAGAGAGAGTTAGAGAAAAAGTTACAGTTGTCCCAGGGCATCATGACATTGCCTCTGCCCTCCACACCTGCCCTTCCACAGGGCACCTGGCATGCCTAGACATGCCTTTCCCAGGAATTAGGGATGAGATGGGAAGGGATGAGGTTAGCTTAGAGCAGCTGCTGATAATCTTCCAACACGATATGGACATGGAGCTGGGCTGGGGGCACCTTTCTCCTCCAGCTCTCGGGGCACCAGCCCACTGCACACACCAGCCCACAGTGGAAAGCAGTGGGGCCCCTTTACCCCCTCTCTGTACACAGCCACAGAGGGCCCACACCAGACGCCCCCATGACTGGAGTCTGGCCCACAGATGTGCTGTGCCTGGCTCTAGCAGTGTTTGTTAAATGACCGAGTTAGTTGCCAATTTGTAGACCTTGGGTGATTTCACATAAAATTCTGGATTTCTGGCTTTGCTTTAAAAATATCTGAAGTTCTGGCCAACACGGATCTGCATTCCCCATGACAAGTGGCTAGAGCTGAGCTGCCTCAGAGACTGGGTTGTGCTCCCCAGTTCACCAGCTCCCCTTCTGCTCTCTTCACTGAGCCCTGCCTGGCCTTGGGGGCATCGGAGTGTTTGATCCTTCGAAGGAATTCAGCATGAGACAATAAGGACCCATCATCCCCGCTTTCTCTTACTGGTGCCTTCTGCCAAATCATGTTTATTTCATTTGTATTCCAAGATCAAATTTGTATTCTAAGATTGTTTTAAATCCTCATGCCACAACGGCAACAATGCAATTTCTTACCCCCCTCCCCTCAAAAAATTACAGCTTGTTACAATTTGTACTTTTGCGGAGCCTCCATTTTCTCTCCAAGGACTAGAGAAAGAAAACCTTCACAAACAATGGAAAATGTTGCGATGTGTTTCCTTCACTTCACCCCCCCCACAGGAAGGATGGGTTCTTGCTTTGTTGTGATTGGTGTTGGAGATGTATACGAGATTTACGCAGGGCCACTTCACTGTTGTGACCAGAGGCAAGGGCGCCAGCTGTGTCAAGTGCAAGCACAGAAAAAAACCAAGGCCATCCTCCATCTGGCCAGGCTAGCAGCTTGGATGCAAGAGAGCTAACCTTATGCGGGGCCGACAAGAGTGTGCTTATACTTAGGTGAAAAATATTTTTCAGCCTCCCCAGAAGGAGCAGTCTAGCTTAAAATCCTTCACATGAAACTTTTATTGCTATGCATCATAGTTGGCCTTGGGCCCCTCTCAGATCTCAAAACCCAATCATTTATAAATTCGTACTGTTCCCCCTCCCCGTCGGCCCTCACCCTACAGGCTGCAGTCACTTGTCCCAGATTCTCTGAGGTCCTAAGGGCTTTCTTTTGTAATGCTGTCTGCCTTCACCCCACACACCTCTCA